GGCACGCGGTCTCTAAAAGGTTCGCCATCGAGCGTTGGTAGGGAGGGGAGCGGCCCGACTTGCTCTCTTGACTCGGTCCGGAAATCAGCAGGCTGAGCTTTTCATGGCACAGAGAGAAGCTTCGTCACCTGCCCAGTCTGCGAACGGGTGTTGGGAGGAAACAGGAGCCAGGGGGAAAGTTGGCATCCCTCTTCTAAGTTCTGCCACTAAGCCAAGCCCTGCCCTGAGTTTCCTGGCAGAAGCCCACAGCCGCCGGAAGTCTGTGTTAAGTCAATTAATAGCGACGGGTGATCCTAAAGGCAGGGGTTTTCGGTCTGCCAAGACGGCTCCGTTCCTTCCTTTCTGGGAAGAGGGCGGGGGGGGGGGGGGGGGGGGATCAGGGGCGGCCGTGTTCCCTCTAAGCTGACAGCGAAGCCAGAATTGATAACAGAATCCGTCTGTGCCCACGGGAGCATCAGAAACCCAAGGAGAGGGACATCTCAGATGCACCTGCCTCCATTTATCGCCTCTGTTCGCTTGGGAACACGTAGCTCACAAAAAACTCTGGGTCTGATCTTATACCCATTTTGCAGATCGAGAAGGAACTGAGAAGGAAGTTTGGGCTATTAGTCTGCCACTGAAAGACAGCTCTCTGTCTCCAAAGCGTCGGCTCTCAAAGGCAGCCGGACAAGGATGCAGCCTCCAAAAAGCGGGACGGGCACACAAAGGGTTAATTCGGTTTTCTCTCCTCCTGACGACCCAGTAAGGTAGGTTAGGCAGAGGCCCCATTTTGCAGATCGAGAAGGAACTGAGAGGGAAGCTTGGGCTTCCGGCCCGCAGCTCTAAGACCGCTGTCTCCAAAGCGTCGGCTATTAAAGGCAGCCGGACAAGGACGCAGCCTCCAAAAAGCGGGACGGGCACGCAAAGGGTTAATTAGGTTTTCTCCCCTCCTGACGACCCAGTAAGGTAGGTTAGACAGAGGCCAAGGCCTGATTTGAACCCTGTAATGGTGACACAAAGGCACATGGCTACTTTAATAGACTCAGAGAGTTGGAAGGGACCTCCAGGGTCAGTTTGGTGGGGGGGTGAGGG